CCGGGCTTCAGGGAGCAAAGGGCAACCCTGGCCCCGCACACGTAAAATGGATGAAAAGGAAAGGAGGGAAGTGCAAAGGTGGTGAAAAGGCTGCTCGGTGGCACGCTCGGCAACTCCGGTGCACAGAAGCATTAATTTTAAACGGGAAAGGGTGTGTGACGCTGCACTGACAGCTCCAGGGACAGGGCTGCTGGAGTATTTTATCATTTAGGAAAAGGATTTCTGTCTCTGCTAGAAATTGCTTGGAACTGACAAAATACAGTTGCTGCTTCAACCTTTAACGTTTCAAGATAAAATGAAATGACACCTTTAGTCAATGGATGAGACCATATAGGGTGGAAAACGAGCATGGCTATTACCTGTTTTAATTGCGTACTTCAGAGTTGTTCTGCAGTTCAATAAAATCTCTTCCAAGGTCTGTGGCTGGTCTGCCAGTTCCCAGTTATATTCCTGGAGCAGCTCATTTGGGTAATGGAAATCAATAACTTTTGTTGATCTATCAAAACTTTTCACCACGTACTGAAGTAAAATGTCCACAACGTCTTGTAGGAAAGACATAGTTGTTATTTCTCCATTGCATGCTGGCAGGAGATCTGGGAACGGAGAAAGGAAAAGTTAACTTCGTTTTATAACCGTATATGCAGATTTTGGACACAGGCTTCTCCCATTTATCTTTAAGAAGTCTTTTCACTGTGTTCAACACAAACAGACTTTTTTTTTTGTTTCATTTAATAGGTGAATTGGTGTAAGACTGCATTTTAAGGAATGTTCTGAGAGCTAACAGTTATGCTTTAATATCCTAGCTAAAATAGCAGATTCTGCCCACAGTGTATTTCAGACGAATTTTTAAGACAATAAGAGCGAGCGGGGAAACGAGAAAAAAGGGAAAACGAATCTCAGGAAAAATAAAGATTGGGAAACAAATGCTACAAGCAGCCCTCTAAAACTGTCCTTTGCCTTGCAATAAAATACCTTCCTTGCGACTCCCCAATGCAAGTAACTTGTTGATAATTTAATGCCTTTTTCAGAGGCGATGCCGCACGGTCTCTCAGTGCACGCACTGACATCTTTTGTTTAAACTACAGCGCGACGGCTGGGGCAGAGCCGAGCTGTAGCGGAACCCCCTAATTTGGGGTAACCCGGGAGCTGTCAGAGAGCAGCAGCACCAGCGCAGGCCCCCCGCCGCAGCTCCCCCCCGGCGGGGCCAGGAGGGCAGAGCTCGCCCCGCTCTGCCCCCCAAACGGGAGCGTTTCTGGCCAGCGTGTTTCTGCGGGGAGCTGGGGTCTATTTAGTAGCGGAGACGCAACCTCCAAGGTCAGAAATGATGAAGTGCAGACATAATTCGAATTAAATAAACGTGTGAGCAAGTGCTCTTTCTCCCTCCTCCCCGCAAACCTTCGTTACATCGCAGGGACTTCACGAGAAGGTCGCTGCTGTCGGTGCTCCTTAGAGCAACCTGCAGGCTGCAGCACACCCGGATTTTAATACTTTTTTTTTTTTAACCCAGGATCTTTTTTTTTAGTGCTCTTTCTCCCTCCTCCCCGCAAACCTTCGTTACATCGCAGGGACTTCACGAGAAGGTCGCTGCTGTCGGTGCTCCTTAGAGCAACCTGCAGGCTGCAGCACACCCGGATTTTAATACTTTTTTTTTTTTAACCCAGGATCTTTTTTTGTCTGGGGTTT